CNNCNNNCAACTAACCTAGCAACAAAAGACAACTAACCTAGCAGCAAGAAAGAAATAACCTAGCAACAAAAGACAACTAACCTCAATAAAAGACAACTCACCTAGCAGCAAGAAAGAACTAACCTAGCAGCAAAAGACAACTAACCTAGCAGCAAGAAAAAACTAACCTAGCAACAAAAGACAACTAACCTAGCAACAAAACACAACTAACCTAGCAGCTACAGATAACTAACATAGCAACAAAAGACAACTAACCTAGCAGCAAGAAATTAATAACCTAGCAACTTAAGATAACTAACCTAGCAGCAAAACTCAACTAACCTAGCAGCTACAAATAACTAACCTAGCAACAACAAACAACTAACCTAGCAATAAAACACAACTAACCTAGCAAGAAAGAAATAACATAACAACAAAAGACAAATGGTTAACGGTCAACGCCGGTAGTCAACGTCGGAGTCAACAGTCAACGCCAAAAGTCAACGATTTTCGCTGAAAGTCAACGCCCGGAGTCAACGGTCAACGCCGGAGTCAACAGTCAATGGTCATAATAATATTTAAATAATTAAAAATAAAGAATTAAATAATAAAAATAAAGAATTATTATTTAAATCAAGATCTAAATCTTGTGGCTAGGAATGAGTCTCACGTCCTCACTTTAAATAAGCGGATGCATTTGAACCAATCCCAGTAATTATATATATATGTCATTTGTGTGAAAAGTCGGCATTTATGGTTTTTTAGTTGTCATTTGGCCTTTATTTTAATTTTTTTTCAAATTTTTATCGATTATTTGATATTTTGTTAAAAGGAGTTTAGTAGTTACTCTTTTTTCTTGATTTTATTATTGAAGTTAAAGATAGAAGTAATAAAAAGAAAAAATAATTAAACACATTTTAATAAAAACATTTTTATTCATAGAACAAATATTATTCCAAGTAGAATACTGAAAATATTATTTAAACAACATAAAATGAAAACATTGAAACTAATATCCTAGAAACAGCTTCCTAGTGAATATAATCTTGATCCAGCCCCTTAGAGTTTTCTCAACTTTGATTTTAAATAACTTCTTTTGAACCCTCTTTCCGGTTATTTCCCTGTAGCCTGGTATAGTGTCCTCACCCTTTGATTCCTACATATTAAAAAATATATAATTTTTTATGAAAACTAGTGCAGAGCCCGTGCGATGCACGGGATGCACAATTAAGGCTATTTATCTAGGCTTATAATTATATACATGAATAAAAAAATATATACGGGATATATATTGTACGTGACCCGTGCGAGGCACGGGATATATTTATTTGCAGAATATTATATTATAAGATGCAGTATTAAATAAAAATTTTATAATACGTAGGAAAATTGTACAATAAGATAGTATTGGACAAAGAAACAATCATATATTATCTTTGACTTCACTTCACTTTGCTTCGTTCGTTGGGGCGAAGCTTCCCAAAGACTATTTTGGGTTGGATCATTGATGCTTTTTCTACAACCAAATCGCCATGAATCCTGACTACACCTCATTGTACACAGCATTATGAGTTTGATTATTGGACAACTCGTCATTTTCACAAACTAATATCTTCAACATTATGAGTTTGATTATTGGACAACTCGTCATTCTCACAAACTAATACCTTCAACCCCCTTCTATTAGTTACATGCGAAACAACAACATATAATTGGTCATGACTAAAGACAAGTTTCGTTAGAAAAAGACACAAAAATATATGTATATCCTCCATATATATATACATATAGCTCCTTAATCTGTGTCCAGATAATGTTTAAAATATCTCCAATATTATAAATGTTAATAATATTTGAAAAATATTAGTATTTAGATAGGTGAAAATTAACTTTTTAAAAAAATTCTTACCGTAGATCAAGATTTATATTAGCAATTAGACTTTAGAGTGAATTAACTTTTGTAAGAAAAAAAAATATGTTATAATTATTTTTTTTAAATCTGTTAGAATAAATACATAAGAGATGAGATTTTTTAAATTTATCGAGCGATCTATTCTGTAAAATTACATGTGATTTTTTAGGTGGATATGCATTAATGAGATTTTTTATAGTCCGATCTTTACTGGTGTATAGAACCAAAAGCCGATAGATTACCTTGAGAATTTTTAGGCGTGTATGCGTTAATGAGATTTTTTGTACAGTCCGATCTTTAATAGTGTATGGAACCAAAAGCCAAATTGATTATTATTATTATTATTTTGTATGTTGTATTTAGAAACTAACAATTTTATTCCTAATAGGAATCCAAATTTATGGTCATTGAATCAACAGCCGAACAAAATTTGACAGATTTTTTTTACTGATAACAAACAATATTAAAAAGCATAATACAGATGATGATATTTTGTGGAGATTGTAAACGATTTTAACGGATTGTTTAAAACAAAAGCCTATCGAATTTATTGTTGCAAACAGATTATTTTTCCAAGCGTGAATTAAGAGAACAATCGAATTTAATGTATTTTGAACATAAAGTTTAAATTTAAACCAAAAGCATATTGGATTTATTATTGCAAGTGGATTTAATGTTGCAAGCTAGAATTAAGGAAATAATGCAATAAATTGCTACTTATAGAAAGTAATAAATGCTAAAACATTTTGACTAAAGGTTTGACTTTCTATTATTAAAAAATGGTTATTCTTTTTATATATTTATAGATAATATATTTTGCTGCTGAAAATAAAAAATATAAAAATATAACCTTAACTTGACCAGCTTCATAATATTCTTTGATCAATATGGAATGTTGATCAGAATTCTATTGAGAAAGAGAATCGTTACAATATATTAATTATTATATTATTATAAAAATAGTAATTCTATTATACTTTGTAGGACATTTGTTTTAAAATAAATTCAGGCCAACCTGGGAGATGTTGGCCAAAGAACCAAATCGGCTGACCAAAATATGATAGGCTGTTATTCGAGAAACAGTAAAAGAACCAATGTATGATCCAAATTGATCCTTTTTCTTTGCAACCTTGAACAATAGCATTTTGTTTGTCAAAAGCTCAAGGTCAAGTAGTAGATCTGATCCATCAGTTTCTTGCATGATAAATTTTGAATTAAATTATAATGTTGATAATATAAGAATGAAACATTTGGGCAATACTCCATATAAAAAATACACATGCCTCTATAATTTCACTAACCACAACATCACATGGTTTTCCAACTAACTCTCGAGCAACTTTATCCCGACACAAAAGGCGAACCATTCCGGCGTTGTCCCCAACTGAAATATGCAGCTTGTACCTATCTATAAAAAAATTGATAAAGACATATTAAAAATTTTTATGAATAATTTTAAAATTATAAAAGATAATTACCTAAGAATTGCAAACGGAATGGAGTTTTTGCAATAGTTGCACAAAAATCTCTCTTCTTTGCGCTCGACTTTTCGAACGCAATTTGGGCAAGAATTGAAATACCAATCTCTCCAAATATCAACAATGTGGCCCCAAATCCAAAAATTTGTTTGCTGAAAAGATAAATTAAAAACAAATCAATATGTGACAATCCTTATTTAAAAGATTATTTAAATTAATTAATAAATTGCTGATATTATTATGAGTGAGTAATAATTCAAAAATTGTAATAAGTCAAATTGATACCTCTTCAGATGCTTAAAAGTCCGCAACACTTATGATAGGAGCAATTTCGGATTGCAAGTCGTCACATACGTTTGACAAGAAAGACCTAACATATGGGAATGAAGATTCCCTTGGCCATGTGTGGGAATTGTACCTAGTGAAAGCAAAATTTAATCGGAAGTATATAATTAGTTTTTTTATTTGATCAAATATAGTATCACATAATAACAAAAAGGTATTGAAGACTTAGGATATATACCTTTGATTGAAATCAATAATCTCAGGAACATCATTCGAGACTATCAATGTCGTAGCATCATAAATGTTGGAAACTAAAACAGATCCTACAAAAATAAATGTTTTGGGACAATATTAAAAATTGTAAGATATAACTAAAATAACAATAGGAGCAAATGATAATATAAATTAAGCCAAATAATATATACCGTCATCAAATGACTTTGCATGGCAAAGTTGTATTACGACTAGACGCAATTCAGTTGGAGATGTCTTTTTGTAGGCAGATAGAAGCATATCCGCATATCCTTCCCGTTGCGTGCAAGTTCGGTGGCAGCCCCTCTGTACAATAAAACAAAAAATTAATTTCTGAAAGATATGTATACTCAAATTAAATGAAACGAAAGTTGTATGAAATATAACTTACTCAACATCTTCAAGAACAATGTCAATACACCTCTTTTGACCTCCATTTGAATTTCTTGTATGCACGTTTTGAAACAAAACAATACGTCCAATCATGTCTACAAATTTTAAAAAAATTAATAAATACTATAAGATTACACAAATTTGTATTATTTAAAAACTAAAAAATTAAAAATACCAAAAGGTGTGGACAGATCAATTGTTTCGGGGTCGGTTAGCTCGCTAAATTGCTTGAACTCAAACATAAACCTCGGATACTCGTACTCAACTATCTCGCGCATGTTAGTTTCTTTGTAGAAAATGAACTTGCGACTTGATTTGGCAATTTTGAATGCACTTTTGTCCTCCACATGTTCGAAATATGTGATCTCGTACACATTGCCTTCGAGAAGTTTAAATTCTTTGAACTTTTGGGATAAGCATCCGAGTGCCCAGTCGTGTATACGCTGGCCCTAAAAAAAGAAATAAATGAAGATTGTCAAAAACTGGTGGTAGAAATGTTGTTTGTAAACATTAATTGAATAATAGAAAAGTAAGTAAAAAAATTATATACCTTCACATCATAAAAATTGAAATCATGTCCGCTGATTTTTGTTGTATTCGACTTATAATATCGAGGGTAGTTTCTGACCAGTAAAAGCCTGACAGTCTTATTCTTTTTTTTTTTTTT